TTAGTTGCCGGATCGGCTTAACCCACGACAAACAGTAACAAAAATTCTCTAAAGGAGAGGTGGGGAATTCTTCCTCAGTCCTCTGTCAATGGATAGCTTGATGATAATAAAAGCCTAAAGCAGGCATGAACAAGTGTGTCTGAAGCACTCAGAAAATTAAACCCATCATCAAGAAAACTCTTACAAATGACCATCATATAAAAAAATAATAATAATAAAAAAATGTTTAGAACAAACTGGGTAAGAGGAATACCAACAGTGCCAGGACTAGACACTGTTCATTGTAGCGTTCTAAAAGCAAGTGTGAAACTGTCAGCTAGCAACTGTGGGTGCATATAAACTGAGAGCTTAAAACTGATCTGGGTACTAGAAGGAATGATAGTTCACAAAATAGTTTGGGTTGGAAGGGACCTCAAAGATCATCTAGTTCCAACCCCCCTGCCATGGGCAGGGACACCCTCCACTACACCAGGTTGCCCAAAGCCTCATCCAACCTGGCCTTGAACTCTTCCAGGGATGGGGCATCTACAACTTCTCTGGGCAACCTGTTCCAGTGCCTCACCACCCTCTGAGTGAAAAATTTCTTCTTTATATCTAATCTAAATCTGCCCTCTTTCAGTTTAAAGCCAAAAGATGATGCAAAGTGCTGCCACATAACACCACAAACACAAAATCCTGTAGGTATCTCTGTATGTATGTGATCCCATATGGATCTACAGTGTGCTCACATTCAGAATCACGCATGTGCTGCTGTTCCTCCCAGCTCCAAAAAAATCATATAACAGAACTACAAAAACATAGAAGTGATGAGGAAGATCAAAGATACAAAATAAGTTTCCAGAAAAGCAGGAGATGACACAGTGGATAACAGAAGTTCATAGAATTGAGTGGCCTGGGAATGGTAAATAGGAATAAAAGACTATTTTTCATAGTGTAGGAAATACAGTGTATCATCAAGTAAAAATGTTAGGCGTTATACTTGAAACAAATGAAAGGTCAAGTACTTTTTCCATGGTGAGCTGTGGAACTCACTGTTACAAGATACTGTGGGAGTCAAAAGTGTAAGCTGGGGAAAAAAAGCAATTAAACAAATTCACAGAACAAGACTCTACTGAACACAAAGATGTGTATCTCTGGGTGAGGCAGTATTTAAGTTGTAAATTGCTGGAAGCTTTGAATGGACACAAAGGGAATGATCGCTGTATGTGCATCTTACTCCTATACTCGTTCCTTACCAGGAAGGAGGACTAGTAACTAACTGATGTTTAGGAAGACAAAGATTTTGGATTAACCAGTACAGCCATTCCTCTATCAAGGGATATACTAAAATGACAGCACTGACTTCAATGTAGAGCAAGGATGTTCACAGAAATTAGTACAACAAGTAGAAGGGAAGGAGGGGGATGGACACGGATACATGAAATCAGCTTGCATTAGCCTTACTGTGTGTCCATTTTCAACAAAGTGTGCCCCTCAGGGACTGGAGTTGTTGCAACAGGAGTGTTCCGGAGTTATGCCCACAAACACTAGTTGGTGAGCACAAGCAGTGGTAGCTCAGCATGTGAACGCACAGCAGGTTGCAAGGTTTCTTTCTAAAACATATTTCCTTATCTACTCCCACTTTTTGAAATGATGAGGATTGCCTTCAACTCAAGGTAATATAACAGCTCTAAGATCAAAATATTTACATGTGTTTGGGAACAGATGATTTCTCAGAAAAAAAATAATAATGTTTGACTGTATAAACAATGAGGACCTCTTGCTTTTTTTGGGTTTTCTTTTTCCTCCATGATTACAGATACCCAATTACTGCAACCATCTGTTTACCAAAAAAGTCACATGTAAAACTTAATGAAAGTACACGTCTTGTAACGGCATGCAAAATACTCAGCAGGCCTGCGGTGCGAGACCACGTGAAAACCCCAGTGTCCCAGATGCACTAAGAAGCTAGAACTGAAAAGCCTTAAGACCAGAGACACAGTTATTAGGACATTACAGTTTCCACGACGTTATCAAGAGAGAATTCTTATACTGCAGAAGGTGTAAGAAAGACTGCCATTTACAGCCAGCAATTACAGAGTTGCCTTCTGAGCCACCCATCACAGTTACACTGTAATTTACTGGAGCAAAAAGACGACCCTACTGAGTTTTGGCAGATTTTCAAAAGGGAGATTTGATTACAGAACCGTGAAATTCAAATGATCATCTTTCCCATCAGTGGAAATATCCCTGATGGGCCCAGAAGGGAAATTTAATTTAGAGCCCTTTCTTCTTTTCAACAGCCAGTGAAAGCAGACCTGTGGTTTTTTGAGAGCAGATGTGAAGCAATCGCTACAATCTGCTGCTAAATGATTTTTTTCTTCTGGGTTAAATTTCAATTGTACCATATGCTGATTTTTTAAGATTACCGAAGGGTAATATGATTCTATGAACCACAAACCTTGTGCCTTACCTTTGGTTCTACCAACACCATCCGAATTTTCTGATGTTGGATGTTGGAAGCATCTAACATAATGTTCACTTTAACTTTATCAAATACACGTAATGTTGTGTCTTCCACAGTAAGTGATGGTACCTGAAAGTTCAAATTCTGAATAAATACTCACTGCTTACCATGTCTTATGTTTTTATACAAAAAATCTTTTTTAGGAAATTATTAATGTTACATGTCAAGAAAAACGAACACAAATTACTGTCCCGAATGTTCAGAGTGTCATAATAATACTTGGTATATACGTTTTCTCAGTATTTACTCAGATCATTAGATATTAGTAGCATCTTATTACAGAACCGAGTTTCTCTCAGAACCTGTTTATTAGACTTACAAAGACCATAGTGGTACTACTACTACAGATTAATAAACTTGCATTTAGAAAAACCTCTCTTGCCCTTCTAAATCCAACTAGATAGTCATCAAAAAATAAAGGTACTTAAGAACAAACCTTATAAAACATACCTCATTGTTGTAATCCAGTCTTGGTGTTGGTTTACCTTTTTCTTCAAAGAAGACTGTTCCTTCTAACCCATACTTGGGAATCAGAACTACAACTGCATTTTTTCTTACAAATAATATATATGCATCTTCATTCACTACTCCTTTGCTTTTGAAGAACAACTGTAACAAAAGTAAAATACATGACTAAGAAAAAATAAAACAAAACACTAGAATGTTCTCTTTTGGATTAGAAATATACTGGCTTAAAAAAATCCCATTAAAATACAAATCTATACTTAATGATAATTACACACCATATACTGAAAGCAGATTAAAAAAAAAAAATCCATAAACTGTTTATAACATTACTGATTAAGCATTCGTCATATTTATAAAAACCACAAAGTAAAAAGAATTCTCAAGATCCCATTATTCTCCATTTTTCAGAACCAGCAGTGCAATGTTGAAGTTCTTTCCCAAAGAAGCAGCCCTTGTTCTTAATCGTTCCTGCAGACTTGGTTGGTTTTGCTCCACAAAGCACAACTCAGTGTTTCCTCCCGTCCTGCCCATAGTTAATCCTCACATCTCAGAACTACTTACCTGTGTATGGAATGCAACAGATGCTCTTTGTGCGTATTGAGCCATTTTGTGTCGGTAATTGAGATTTTTACACATATCTGCTAGTTTATGTTTGTCTGTCAGTTCTGGGTAAGTACTGTCTGCTCCTATGGCCACGGCCAAAAGTCGGTGTACTATAATGTCAGCGTACCTGCAACAGATGAGACTGAACGATCAATGACATGTACAAACATACTTCCTTAATGTAAGAAAAAAAAAAAGCTTCTAAATATAATTTGTTTTTATAACTCTTATACATCAAAAAGTTTTTTCTAATAATGAGTCTGCTGATAACTCCCTGTATTAACTCATGACCACTCTGTGCTGACCAAAGATACAGTCTGCAATTCCAGAATGAACGGTACTGTTTTCTAAGAGAACTTCTTCACTGTATTCTACCAACAGAGTCTGTATTGCTGAATGTTTACAGACACAAACTTTTACTTTTAGACTAAAGAATGATGTCTTAAGTCGCAGCTTAAGCCGCTCTCTCTTCCCTTTCCTATGAACTAGACAAATTTAGTGTAGAATGGTATTTCAATGCCTTTGATCTGCAAAGCATAATCACACTTCAACTTCTTGGTACATAACTTTTACCAGAATTTCAGCCAGGAACTTTTTAACACATCTGTAGCAACTAAAATTTACTATTAAGACTTCCAGAAGCTCCACAAATTATTCACACAAATGCATAGGAATTTTAATCCACCTGTAAGAGATTTCACTTGAAATATTTCTTAGGAGCAAAACACGACGATAATTATTTTCCTCAAAACTTAGATACCTCTTGGTTAAAAAGATGACAATCCCTCAGTTTTCCAAGATGTACAATTTCATTACAATGCAACAGCTACAGCAGCAAGTTTCTAATTAGCAATGTTTTTACATGTTAAATACAGTCTCCTCAAAATTTAAACACAGCTCTCCCACCTCAGTCTCTAGTTGACTTATACAACACTAACTGATCCCGAAGTGAATTTCTATGTCAGAAGGGACGAATTTCTCTTGAGTCTTTTTAAGAAATGTTATTAGATGTTAGTGAACCTAGAAGCTCACATGAAAGACAGATCACTGTGTAAAGCCACTGCTATTTCAAGTGAAATCTGAACAGACACAGTGTTGTGTTTGAAATGGACACCACCACAATTTAAAACAGAATTTCTTCACAAATAAATCACTTCTTTTTGTGACCTAAAGTAAAAGTACCTTCTAATGGGTGAGGTGAAGTGGGTATAAATAGGTGAGGCTAAACCATAGTGATGGAAATCATTATCCATTCCAGAGCAGAAATAAACAGCTTGCATCATGCAGCGAGTGGTCAAAATTCGCAACAGTGTATTTAGGTAGGGGAACTTCGGAGATTCAGCTTTGTCTAATGATTCAGCTAGCGCCTTTGCTGAATCTGTCTTAATTTCCAAATTCTGGAGGGAGGAAAAAAAAAAAAAATAAAGTGAAAAAAGGTTAGGTATTACTAGAAAATATTAACGAAATGTAAGCAGAAATGTAACAGCTACATCCATGCTGATCTTAGCAACTGGCACAGGTATCACACCTAATAACAACCTAATGGAATGCCACTATTACAAAAAAAAAAAAAAAAAGGATCCACTCATGCAAGATCCCTCCCTCATTATTAGTAGTGCTTTATGCAAACAATGAAAAGCTAAGTCAGTAGCCTAGGAATTCAGAAAAGACATCCATTCGGAACTAAGAAACACTGCATACTAATATTAACAAGTTTTTTTATTTCCTTTGATTTTTTTCCATCCCTTTATTGAATAAATCAAAGGGGATATGCAAAAATAAAAAGAAAAAAGTACTTATGCCACACAAAGATTCTCATCTGAGCACAACGTAAGCAGTAATCAACCTTGTTGTATGTCCTCCACAAAATTATGGAAACATAACACTTGGAAAAGTCATTTGTGAAACTAGTACTGTATGACACTCAGTTTGTTCCCTGTTTGCCAGTGTTGCCTAATAAAAATTCAGGTAGTGTGAAAATAAATAATTCATTTTTAATTTCCAGTCAGACAAAATAAGTTTCCTCACAGCATCAGCTGAATGTACTTTCCTTCATGTACACTGCTGAAACTATGATCTAGAGATCAAATTATCCTTGTATTACGGTAAAATAATTGCATATTTATTTAAAAAGTGTAACAGAAATATAGCATATTAATACCTAAATGTCATGGTTCTGTCAGAGTAGTGAAAAGTCACTTTGGTTTATTAAATTAAAAGAACACTTGTCTATGCACAGGAATTTAGCTTTCCAAATAAAACAGTACTTTAAAAATAATTTTCAGAGTATACATGAAAAAATTGTCATTATTCTAGTTTTATAGCAGTGGAAAATGAAAAGGGCTCATCTATTAATCTTATACTGAGAGAACCTGGAAAAAAAAGGTGGGGGGGGGAGCTGAAGGAAAGGAATTATGAATGCACATCACAATGTCTAGAAAGTTAATTTTAAAAGTTTAGCTCAAATAAAATATCTTGAGACTGGAAAAAATCATTTTTCAGTTCAGACTTGTTAATTAAATCAGACTTGTTTCGGGATAAATTAACCTCTAGCTGATCTAAGGAAAGGATGGAAACTATAAACACATATGAACACATTTTCCTACTTCCTGACTTTGAGATATGTTGTTTGATGTGACTGACCAATTATTAAGTACACCAATAATGTGCCAAAAGCTGGCTCAAAAGTCGCTTGTGGCTTGGAGAGAAACACTCACAGCACACAAGAGTTACAATACAACAGACATAAAGAGCGATTTGCTTTCTTTATCCAAGAGAAGGTTTCCAAAAAGAGCAAGAGTCTACCTTTCATCTAGAGGTACAGATACCTTGCTACAAGTACCACCAATTTCCAAGTGTAGCTGATAACACTTTCAAAATACTGCTTTCCAACCCTTATTCTTGGATAAGTGGCCAAACAGAGAGAAAACAGAGCTTTTTATAATTAAATCACTTGATTAGCATGGTAGAAACTTGCCTTGGACTTTGCTGCCTTCACAAGGATGTCATAATTTGATGGGGGAGGAGCAGGATGTTTCCGGAGCAAAGCAAACTCTGGGAACTCATCGTAAATTTTTTGTGCTACAGAGACATTGGCAAGCAACATGAACTCTTCAACCATGGAATTTGTTTCTCTATCAACGTAAAATATTTTGTATTGTTAGAAAAGCATTAGATTGTATATTTACTTTGAGTACCTACGGAAGAAGCATTCCACCATCCTATCAACATTGTGTAACAGAAAATTGTGGTTTTGAACTTTTATACAATTAGGCAAACATTTTTATGACTAAAAACATAACAAGTATTTGTTAAGTTTCAAATACTGAGTCAGAAAAAAAAATAACCTCAAAGATCTAAAATAAAAAAAAATGCTCTTTAAAATGCCCCAAAAGACCAACAGATAAGCTGCTTGATTTCTTCCTAAGAGTACTGTTCAAATATTGTGCATATGAAGTTTGAAAGCACCACGTTGCACACCATAAAGTTGTGACGGTATACGTAACTAAGTGTAGAGTTTTGCACACAAACTAAGTGGTAATACGAGAGAATGTATCTAACTTCAGAAATTTAATCAGTAGCTCCATTTCTAGAACTCAGCAAGACTGTCTATAGCGCTCTGCACAAGTGCAATAACTGCTCTGTTGTTCTTAAGGTTTCAGTAATCTGCAACTCCCAAGTTGTATTCGCTCCTTTAGTAACACCAGAAGAGCATCACAGAGAAGCCAGTAGGATGTAGAGTTTGGACCTTAGTGCTCCATTAAGTCAATAGTAAAGACTTAAGTTCATATATGAAGCGTACAGTTCAAAACTTGCTTCATTAATAGTGCAGGAAAACACAGAGGAATCCTCTTTTCTAGGATCAGCTTGCCCAGAGAAGTTGTGGATGCCTCATCCCTGGAGATGTTCAAGGCCAGGTTGGATGGGGCTTCAGCCACCTGATCTAGTGGAAGGTGTCCCTGCCCATGGCAGGAGGGCTCGAACTAGATGATCGTTTAAGGTGCCTTCCAACCCAAACCATTCTATAATTCTACAATTCTACCTGCATTATTATATGAACTTTGTACACTATTAGGTAATGTTGCTACTTATATATGCCTTTACTTCCATCCCTGCCCTAAACTAACTACTTGAGGAAAATAAAACACATACTTGAGCTCCTTAGTCTGCAGATCAATAGGATCGTGAGTTTCACTGTCCATGTGGAAACGAACTTCTGGTGAGGAAAGTGTCAAGGCTCTGGAAGACAGGAAGTGGTATTAATGAACTACAGTAAAGCAGAAACAGCAGCTGAATTGTAGGCCTGCACACAACGTCTGGGTTTATCATGAAACTGTAATTTAAAATTAGCAGAAATTAAAAATACAATTGTGGAATTCATGTTAAAATTAGCAGAAATTATGATGCTGACACACATCATCAACATCATCCTAAAGTTTCAAATGCTACTCCTCTGGTTGAGTTTTTATAATGACTGTGAGAGATCTATATTGATTGATCTTGTGTAGGAAAAGCTAACATCCCAAGTTTATATTTTTGGGGAAATGAAGATAGGCATTTTTAATTGCATTGCAAACTGAAACACCAAAATACCTCTCTTTCAAAAGATTTTCACTGAAAAATGGACAAAGAATACCATTATACAGTTTGACAGGAAAATATAGCCAGAAAAAAAAAAAACAACAGGAAAAAAGGTAACAGGGACACTGCACAGTTTACCCATTATCAATTCTTTTCTTCTTCAGAATTTTTGCTAATTTGTTTAGTCCACGTAGGCTGGTAGTAATATCATCGTTCATGGTGGCTGAATCAATTCTCATTTGTGCTTCGGCATACGTAAGAGAAGCCTTGAAGAGACAGAAAAAAAAGAGAGATGTAATGATACATCATTGAAGACTGAAAAGAAAAACATATTTCGGTCTTCCAGAAACTGCAGTTTTCTGTCAAAGTTGGTTCACAATAACAGAAAGGTTTACATTCAACACCTAAATGCATGTCATTCTCAAAGAATAATGGACAAAACAGGACAGATCTATGCAAGAGATGAAGCAATACCAGGCATTCTCAGTGTTTTTTTTATGCTGATCACAGATCTATTTTATACATTAGAAGTCTAATCTTCAGAAATATATTAGAAACCTATAGAATCTACTGAATTTAACTGAAAATTATGACTAACTGGTATTACCAACCATGTCCGATATACGTATCAATACATTCATACTTTTAAAATGAAATGTAGTAAATAAAGTAATCGCACAAAAATCATTGCGGCGTTAGAGGTTTAAAAGAACAGGGCAGAATCAAACATTTTCTTTACTTTTAGAATTTATGAATCATTTTCTAATTCTAAGAAAATATAAATCAATAAACAGAAGAAAACTTCATTATCAAGTCTGTTGATCATTGTTTTTACAAAAGGGTCTCCAGCTTTTTTTCAGAAGTACAATAATATTTTGTAACTAACCTTGGAATTAATGATACTCTTCGTAAATCTGGTTTTTAGAATTTCAGCCTTATGGTTCATCTCCCATATACATGAAAATGCAAGCCTATGAGAGGGAGAAGGGAGGGAAATCTGTTAAAATCCACATATAAACATCTAGAGTTTCTTGTCAGTATCAAAGTGTGAATCATATACATATACCTGTCCACATTAGATCTCAGGGAGCATAAATTGGAACTAAGTAACTCTGGAACCATATCAATCCTCTGCAAAGTAAAGAATAAAAATTATGACTAGTTATGGTTTTTAATTTCCTGATTTTTAATACACTGAAAGCTTGGAAATAATTACTTTATTTCTTTGCTAAGAAAGCTCAAATTTCTGTAAGAAAAGTCAGCTACTTCAGAGAAAATTAATTCCAAGATCTATTTTAATTATCAATTTTTTAGTAACAGTTATTTCTGAAAAGAAATTGTCGTTTATGAGAAGTAAGTTAAAATAAACAGGCCTAAGCCTACAGCTGTCATGAACACAAATCACAGGAAACAGAAATTTAGCTACCACAAGAAAAAACACTGAAAAAGGCAAAACTAGGGCACTTCTGCAATTCCAGATCGATATTAAACCAGTAATCTAGTTTCAGAACTAAGTTATTAATGCTTCAAACTGGCGTTGAAAGAGATATTCTCCAGATAATGGATTTTAAAAAAAAGAAAAAATTTTCTCCCTCTTGCTGTGCAGGCTGAATGACAGAAAGCACCTTCATTTTGATAGTCTTAGGCAAATTAAGTGTGGCCCAAAGGAGACTACTTTTTTTTTTTTCTCCTTAATTTAGAGATAATGTCTCTACTCCCAAGAATTAAAAAATGAAAGGAATGAAAACTCCAACCACTTAATTGTACAAAAAGCTTGCTATATAGGAAACAATTACTTTTTCACACAGATACACTGTTGTTCCTCTTCTTGCCGACTCCTCATCCAAAGCATTTCCTGGGCGAATAAAATGACTGACATCTGCAATATGTACACCAACCTAAAAAACAAGCATCATATTATGCATCTTATGGAACAGAAACAGTTCTCAACAGGAAAGAAACTTTCTCAAGTCTTTATTTACCCATTCTCAGTTCCCTCCAGCAGCTCCTGGATGCAGTAATAGGAATAGGTAAAACCTATCATACTGATTTTAAAAAGGTGAATAGTTGCAGCAATTATGCAAAATGAGAGCATGTGCACATTTAGTGGAAAATTATACGCATCACCAATGCAACTCTCTTGCCAGGGAGCTCAAGTAACTTTCATTTTCCTCAAGGCTCACTGGAAATTTGTTTTTGCTTTTCTGTTTGCTAGACCTCTCATTTTGGCACACTCTGCTATTACAATTACACATTAATTTATAATGAAGAAAACCTGACCAAGTCAGATATATGGGGTAGAGAGCTGGTGTTAAGTCTGTAGCTTTTCGATGCCTTTTTTTTTGTTTAAATAAAACAATAATTCCTTAGGGATTACACCACTATATTCACTTTTTCTACTGATAATTCCTTATCCTAGGTGTAGATATCCAATTCTGTATTAATTTCCCATGCCAAATGAGCAGAAAGCAGGGTGAATTTAGATGACATTAAATTCCCACTTCTGAATGCAAATCAACTCCTTGAATGCAAATCAACTCCTTTTCTCTATTACCATCTCACAGTTGTGCAAACACCATTAATGTCTTCTACAACAGATCTGAAGCTTTGCTCATGTCATTTACTATTACCACTACTGCATTGTTTGTAAAATAATGGAAAAAGTAAATAAATAAATGACTGATTTGATTAAAAATAAAGAACCAATACCTCTATATTTCCATTTCCTACTTCTCGACAATGTAATGCATCATCAATATCCGTACAGCCAGGAGGATCAACACTACAAACATACAGATGCCTTAAGTCCTCCCTGTATTTCATATCCTGAAAAAAAAAAAAAAGTTGTTTTCAAGAACATCTTCTATATCAAAGTAAAAGTTACCATTTGAGAAAGGCACTTTGCATAAGATTTTTCCAAAGCAACCAAGTATTTTCAGAGTGGGTTGGTTTTTGGGTTTTTTTTTGTCTTAGGACAAGATTTGCAGTAATATTTATTATAAGATCAAAACAGACATGCAGAAACTACAGTGACAGAAAAACTAAGACAGAAGATGATCAAGTACTGAAAAATCCTCTTTAAAGCAAACAGGAAGAGAAACAGAATAAAACTACAATCTTTTCATCATCTCAGAATTAGTAGGAACAGGAATCAAGATTTTTTAAGTGAAATTTTGACGGATGTCCAGTTGGACAAATTGTTTAGGATACGATTGCTCTCAACTAACTTTAGCTTTCTGAGGCTTAGATGTCTAGATAGCTGAAAGGAACTGCACACTTTGGAAGTATCTACCTTTGTATGATGGAGACAAAAAAAAAATGTCAGATAGGTATCCTAGAGAAGACAACTCTTAGACAGTTAATTTACACAAAGATCCCTCTTTCAGTTTCCATGTTCAAAAGAAACAGGAGTAGGTAATAAATTATAATAAAAGTAGCCCACCTCAAAAAAATTAAAATACACAAAATGCACAAACAAATCAACCTAGTTCAGCCCAAAACAAAAATATATCATGATCAAATTGTTCCCTGATGATATTTTTCCATACATTCTAAAGCAACTATTTCCCCATAATTAAGCTACTGGGTAGAACCTGAAATTCACTAACAGCATTTAAAATGAGCAGTTCTGCAAATACCAATTTCTTTAATTACTTTACTGGATTATAGCAGGATATATTAAAGTCTCCTCTCCTCAGATTATTTTAGTGATGACATAAGCTGCCACATTTGGTTACAAAGCTATTTAGCAAGATGAAAAAAACTTTGGGAGGATTTTACAATTATCTGAATTGTAGTCTCTCTCCTTTGCAAAAAAAAAAAATAATCTTTTTTAATGTATCTTTTTAAATGAAACCTGTAATATCATTTTTATATTAAAATCTCTATCCCTACCAAACACAGTTTTAGCCAAAACCCAAAAACTTGCAGAGGCCTCATTTCCATAGGCTGAAAGTCTACCTAAAGACAAAATGGTTTTGGACAACATTTTTCCTCTATTTATTGTGTATTGGGATACCTAAGAACATCACAGTGTAATTTGAAGGAGAAGGCACAGTAAGCATTACAATAATTTTAAAATTATTACCTGTTCTGTAATGCTCCATGGCATTTTTGGTAGGAAACTATGGACAACCTGGGAAAAAGGCTGATGAGGGACATCATGTTCAAGCAGCAGAACTTCTGTCTCCGTCTCTTTATCTCCAGCACTTCCCAAGTTCTTTACAAAATGACCCTGAGAAACAATATACATTCATACAAATACACACATGCACATCAATCAATATTGTTTGCTCAAAAATAAGTATTTGAGATCATTATCTCATAAGTTATTAGTATATGAAACGACAAGGAGTAATCCTTCCTTCTTCAGTTAATTTTCTCATCTTTAAAAGAGAAATTTAATTTCACACAATTAATTGGTTCAGTAAGTCCGAACTTTGTACTTACCCCTTTTTTCCTAGAATGGTACTAAATTCTCCACATTTAAGACCGTAAAAATTGTAAACGTAGCAATTCAATTTTATAGGAAAGAAAAAAACATGGCTGCATAAGCAGCAAAACTAATAAGGTCTAATTTCTCTATAGGTTGAGTCACACATCCCACTCCCTGACACCACATTAACTCTACTTCCTTCCTCACATCTGTCCTCCTCTGCAGTAATGCTGTCTTTGTCTTAACACTCCTTCCAAGTTTCCTTCATTTCTTTAAACACGAGTGAGACAGCTGTGCTCTCGTTCATTACAAGCTGTGCATTTCTACACAAGGCAACGGAAGCATCTTCAAACCTAGTTAGTGTTCAACGCAGCATCCTCAACTTCTCTTATATCTTCCTGTTTATTTACAAAGAACTTTTAAGAACTTAAGTATCTGTAACTCTGTCCCACTGGCAATTTAACTGAATTTGGCCAATGTATTTGAAACCACTTGCCAGGATGGTGATCAGTGTGTGGACAGCAAAAGGTTCACTTTTCCAGGAACCCAGACTAAAACAAGGTGGTCCCTAGTTAGTCTAAATAAAACACCTTAGCTGGCACATACATGTTCACTGCAGAACCTGAGGACAAAGCTTTTTAAGTATGATAACCCATACCTGTTTTTTGAGGGTAAGAGCATACTATATCATTTGCACCATCAAAGAATAGCACTCAAAGAACTTAAAATTCATGTCAATGCTTTTTGAAGATACTCAGCATTGCAGATAATAGTAAACATCTTACCTAATAAACATATATAATTGGATAGAGAAAAGTTTAGAAGGAAACACAAACTTACATTAGGATACCTGGAATTCCTCGGCCAACCGTCAATAGCAACAATTATTCTTTGTCCTTCCAATATATCTGCTTGTCTTGTTTCTATTCGAATGCGAGGGATTCTGCGATCCGCTGGTGTAAACAAATGGCGCCTTGCCTATTAACAGCCAGAAAAAGGAACAAAAAAGGAAAAAAATGGAACAAATAACTTTCTAATTAAAGGGGGAGGGAAAAAAAAAAATAGATCTGCACTTGCAAGAACTTGCTTATTTCTATACCTCTTTGATTTGTGATTTGGAAAGCATGCCACAAAACGGTCGCCAGTTTCGTTTTATAATGCCCACTACTTTTCCTGTAGGTCTCAGCATGTCCTTGTTAGCAGAAGTCTTCAGCTGGTAGAAAACACAGAGGTTAAAACCACAAAACTCTTTGAACTCATGTTAACATGTTTGACTACAGCATGTATCTCAAACTTCGGTAGTTAACAACTTCTGTGTCCGTAACGCCACAACTTATATTACGACTTCATAAACAGAACTATGTCTCTCTGTGCTTTGCACGACTTCTAACATTTTTAGCATGTGACATGACTACTTTGTTATTTTGTTAAGTTTTTTAATGGACATTGTTTCAGAAAAACAATGAACGGCGGAAAAAAGCTCTGAAGAAAGGTTACCTTGTTTCACTGTCTCTGCTTACTCCACAACTATCTCCATTTTCTTTTCCAAGCTATTATTATAATTTTTAGGAACCCTTTTATGTTGCTTGAAAATGCTCCAGCAATTCTAAACACAGTAATTAAAAAAAACATTCCCATGGAATTCAGTGGGAAGATCACACTCCTAAAGAATATCTGTTGGACAGACTATTTAAGCAGAATTAAGCAGAACTACTGCAGGAAGCTGAAGAATATTTTACAACTGGTTCCAAATGTATGCATTGCCTATAAAAGCCAACTGTCATTATGACACAACATCTGCTCCTATTCTAGCAAATCCTAATCTGCACATCAGTATATAGCTTTGCATTATTACCTGACTACCACTCTGTAACTTTCAGATTTATTAAGTTTAACAAAGTAATGTGGGAATTTCTGATTGGGATTAATTAAAAAATTAAGAAGTATCCATTTTATACATATTGACGTATTTAATGCAACTGTAGGACTAAAATTATGTTTTATAATTTCCATATTCACAATAGCTTTTAGGAGTCAGTATAAAAAGGGTATATACACTTAAAGCCTTAACAACGTTGTCAGGGCATTGCAGATTTCATCTCTCTCATAATGTAAGTTACATAAAAAATTATTTAATTCATACAATGTTTTCTTTCTCCTCTTCATTTTCAATGTCATCTTCATTCTGACCATCATCCTGCAAGACCACTGCGGACGGTGCCACCCATTCATTTTTTGCCAACAACTCCACAGCTACAATATCTTCATGAACTGCTCGGTTTATATGTTTCAGCCCCTGTATAATTATCTGGATTTAAAAAAAAAAACAAAACCAACAAACAAAAAATGAAAATGCAAATATTCATGATTGCAGCAACAGAAGACCCAAATCAAAGCAGCACAACAGAAGAGTATCCATGTATAACAGGCTCCATGCTCTAAGAACATTTTAAGGCATGTTTGTGAGGAATTTCCTTCCTCTGCTAGGTTTCTTTCAGTACTGATGATGTTATTTCAGGATTTCAATTGCTTCTATAAAAATAATTGGTTTTCCTCAGACTTTATTTAAAAAAAAAAACAACAGACAATCCTTCTATTTTTGCAGGCTAGGGACTCCACAGACTACTAAGATAAAGGAATAAAAGAAATGGAGAGCCAGAGAAGCATCTCCAGCTGCCACTACAAACAGGAAGGGAGGAGACAACTACTGCTGCTGCTTGGAAACAGCGTCTTTACAACTGCACCAGCAGAGAATTCAGTAGGCAGACAGCTGGGTTAACTGCTTGGAGGGGAACAATCCATCTGCTCATCGCCAGCATGAAAATAGCGGGGGAAATAAAGTGGGAATGCCCCACCAGGGCTCACCACAGTTTTTCTGAAAATACTCCTACAAACTTGTTTCTCTGTCATTCACCATATATTTCACGCTAATTTAAAAAAAGTGTTTAAAGTTGAGTCAATTGAAAAACTATTAACGACTAAGATTAAGCTTTATCAAATACTTTACCAAAGCATAAAGTATTGTTTTAAACACATTATTCTCTTTTCAAAAAGAGCACACTCAACATTTCAGTAGTCTATATCCATACAAATAAACAAAAACAAAGCAAAAAAGTCGGAAAAAACACGGAAGAGGAAAAATTACTATAATGCTCTCTTTTAACAATGTACATCAAAATTACATTTAAAATCACATTTTAAGTCATTACTGAGGCCAGTAAAAGTTCACAGCATGAAGTCAAAATGAAAAACTCACCTCTTTGTTTTCTTCAGCGTCTCCATGAACCCAAACAGTAGCTTCGAGATAATTATCTCTGCTTGCCCTGTAAGTTCCTTGGAGGTAAACACCAGACTTTACTCCTTGCTGCAGTTTGCTAAGAGGAATATGTTCTGGGAAAATTATTTTTCCACTTTCTATTTCTTTCTTTAAAAAAAAAAAAAAAGAAAAAAAAAAGAAAATTTTCACTCTTTTGTGATCATGATTATTCCAAAAGCCAGCTCAGAAACATGACACTCAAGCTGGCAAACTCCAAAATTGTAATTATGTGTAGGTACAAATACGTACAATAAGGAAAAGCTACTATTAAGCAGTAGTTTTTCTAATGACGCATGAAAAGCATAAAGAACACAGAAACATGACAGTTCCAAGAATGCCTCCTTTTCTTTTCCTGTTTGCCTGCAGTTACTTAAAAAGACACTGCACAATTGACACACATTTTTACATTGATTTGGATATGCTGACCAAACAAATACTTAGTGAAGAAAACACCAGCATAGTACTACATAGTAAAGAGCACAGCACCCAGGGGAAGTGTATACTGTGAGCTATACGGAACATTGCGAAAACACATGACTGTGACTAAACTTTGGAGCAGTCAGACAATTAGCTAAACCTGAATGAACTGCACCTCATCGCTGAAAAGATCAGCTGATCCAGTTCTGGAGTCCCCAACATAAGAAGGACATGGACCAGTTGGAGAGGGTCCAGAAGAGGGCCACGAAGATGATAAGAGGGCTGGAGCACCTTTCCTATGAGGACAGGCTGAAAGAGTTGGGGCTGTTCAGCCTGGAGAAGAGGAGGCTCCGGGGTGACCTTATAGCGGTCTTCCAGTACCTCAAGGGGGCCTACAGGAAAGACGGGGAGAGGCTATTCAGGAGGGCCTGTTGTGATAGGACAAGGGGTAATGGTTTTAAAATAGAGGGAGGTAGATTCAGACTGGATATTAGGAAAAAATTTTTTACCATGAGAGTTGTAGAACACTGGAACAGGTTGCCCAGAGAGGTGGTGGATGCTCCATCCCTGGAGACATTCAAGGCCAGGTTGGATGAGGCCCTGAGCAACCTGATCTAGTTGGAGATATCCCTGTTCCTTGCAGGGGGGTTGGACTAGATGACCTTTGAAGGTCCCTTCCAGCCCTAACGATTCTATGATTCTATGATCCCTACTCTTTCGTGTCCCACTCCATTCTGTTAGAACTCACTCATTAAATTAACCTTCCCATTTTTTAGTGGTGGTAATTTTCAGCTGTATCACTCTTATGTGAAAATACATCTTGATTCTGATAAACATAAAGTACAAGTAAACAGAAGAGGCTGTAGCTCATCTTCGAACTGCAGCCTGCACTTATGTCAATTCAACAGAAAAATCAGAGCTTTTGACAGAAAATGCTTTTAATAATAATAAGTTAACATAAACTTTCAAATAATAGACACAAAACAGAGACCTAAATGGTTTGCAATATACACTTTTGCATTTTCATTTTGTTTCTAATGTAAATTCAGAATGTAAATTTCTAATGTAAATTAGAAAGAAAATTTCATTTTGTTTCTAATATAAATATTCCTAATATTTCTAATATATCTAATATTATTATATAAATATTTCTAATATTTATAAACTTTCTTTAACCAATTATTATTGTCATCTTCACACCAGTTAGCTAAAGCAACTGGCTTTTTACAAATAAGTAGATACCTACTAATAGGCATATAAGCAGCAGTAAAAACAGCTGCAATATCTCCTTCCTTCTCTTCAGTTGTCAAAAAGTTCTATCACCAAAATGGTAATAAAGTCCAGAGTCCTCATTTTCTAAACTGATACCAGTAGCCTGACATATTGTGTCCAATAATATATTGCAAACCGTTTGTGATTAATTTATTTTATAAAAAGAAAATAAAAACATACCCCTTCATCAGATACACAAGCAAGACGATCTACAAGGTCAGGATTGGCTGTCAAGCTTTTGATATACTCCTCACCTACAAAAACACACACACAAATATTTATGCAAGTGATGCATGGGATTTAGGTACAAGAACACTCTGAGATTGTGTATCTGAGCAATAAATTAAACATACACGCCACTTCACTTACATGTATAAGCAGTTATCCCTTCCTCTAGAGCTTTCTCTTTATTACTTCTGTCATTTGTTAAAAAGATAACTTGGATCTTCTCCTCATCCTCTATTTTCTTCAAGTGTTCATTATACCAATTCACTGCTACCCGAATGGCTCTGTCGTTGCGGTCATTAGAAGTTTCTCCTCGGTTTTGCTCTATGTATGTTTCTCTAAAGAAATAAGAGGGGGAAAATAAAACCAAGTGAATCTTGACATCTATCCATACGTACAAAAATTCTTCAGACAAACAAGATCAAGACTGCGAGGCCAAAATAATCACTTCTGTATCTATTTTCATAGTATGTATAACACTCTACAGGCTACTGAAGAAGGATCAGGAGGCTTCTAGAAAAGTCAAGAAAAATAGCAAGGAAGCGTTAACTTCTAATACAAGCTTGTCACCTACGATTGAAGAGGACTGCATTCAAGATGCTAGAAATATGCATTCAAGATTCCTAGAATTATGATACCACAGTAGCTGAAACTACTTGTGAGCCCAGACAAAGGCAAATTAATTGCATCCTCGTTTCTTAGAGCTTTTCTGTCACGAACCAGCAAACTTTTAATGTTTAAAAGGGATACTAAAATGGGATAGCATTATTCCTTGGCTGCAGTGACCACGACACGGTGGAGTTCAAGATCCACGGGGCAGCAAGGAAACTATACAGCAAGCTCTGTGCCCTAGACTTCAAGAAGGTGGACTTCGGCCTCTTCAAGGACCTGATGGGCAAAGTGCCATGGGAGGCGGCCCTGGAGGGACGAGGGGCCCAGGAAAGTTGGTCCACATTCAAGGAGCACCTTCTCCAAGCTCAGCAGAGGTGCATCCTGATGAAGAACAAGTCGGGCAAAAAGACCAGCAAGCCCGCGTGGATGAGCAAGGAGCTCCTGGACCAACTGAAAATGAAGAGGATAGCCTATAGAGGGTGGAAGCGGAGACAGATAGCCTGGGAGGAATACAGAGAAGCTGTACGAGTGACCAGGGATCAGGTGAGGAAGGCTAAAGCCCTGAAGGAATTGAATTTGGCAAGGGATATAAAAAGCAATAAGAAAAGCTTCTATAGGTATGTAGGGGACAAAAGGAAGTCCAAGGAGAACGTAGGCCCCCTCCGGAAGGATACTGGTGCTCTGGTTACCTGGGACATAGAGAAGGCTGAGGTACTCAATGACTTTTTTGCCTCAGTCTTCACTGATGAAGCCTCTTGGCTTACCACCCAAGCTGTGGAAAGAACTAGCAGGGACTGTGAGGATGAACCACCGCCCACTGTACTTGAAGAGCAGGTT